CCCCATGCTCTTTCTCTGGATTTCGCGACATAAACAAACTGAGGGTTGGGCAGCGATGGGGTTGGGGCTGGCGGCGTCACACAAAAGTAGGCCAAACACACAGACTCGTGCATTCCTCTACACACATACACACAACACACAATACGTGCGACAATTGTTTGCCTTGCTCTCTCTCTCTCTCTCTCTCTCTCTCTCTCTCTCTGGCTCTGTGCATATCTCTTTGTCTGCTGTTTACTTCATTTTTCGTGTGGCTTTAGCCTAGAATATGATTCATTTAGGGCAGTTAAAGATAATCGGCAGCTCAGAAGACACACCACAAGCTGAAAGGCTCTCTCTCTGACCAAGCAGGTCACATAAATAGCAGCAGAGCTCAGGCGATTAACGAGTTTTGAAAAGTAATCGCGTTAGCGATGAACAGATCGCCAAAGGTTAATCGATTGACAGTAATTATATTTTTGTAAAGTTTTCCCACCTTCAGCCAATCGCTCTTCGTTGTCTACTTGCCACCTTGCCACATTTGCCACATTTGCCGGCTTGCGGCTAATTGCTTTTTGCGCAATTTCTTTTTGCAACACCCCTTCGGGCTGAGCTGCAGCACTGCTGCACGCCCATAAGTTGCCACAAACTGAAGTCGCTTCGAAAACTTCAATAACATCTGACGGCAGCAACAAGTTCTGCCAGTTCGACTCCACACTACTCTACTCTGGGACAACTAAACTTTTACTCAAATATATGTATGTAATATGTGTTCTTATGTACATACATATGTACATACATTATTCCGAAAGTTACGCAGTTTCACATCCAAGCAAGCATCCAAACAATTGACTTTTGAGCATCGTCTCCGCCTTAGTCAATGTCTTTGTCCACCTCCGCCACGTCGTCTGTCGCCCGCCATTGTGTGGGGTCCTTGTTGTTGGGTCCTCAATGTTGTTGGCCTTCTTGCCTTGGCTAAGTAAAAGGCAGAGCACCAACATATGAGACAAACTTGTTACTTCTTATACCTCAAAGTGTGTGGCTCCCTCGTCTACCCACACATATGGTTGAGGCGGAGTGGAATGCCAGAAGTTTCTCCTCCTACTGCTGCTGCTGCTGCTGCCGCTGCTGCTTTAAAAGAAAGCAAAGAGAGTAAAAAATTAAGCATAATAATAAGTAGACGAGCGCCGGCGACCAACACTCCTAACAGCCAAAGCCCGAAGTAGCAGGTAGAAGGGGGAAGCATGGCACGACGAGGAGTAATAGGAGTTAGAGAAGCCGCCAAAGGAGCAGCAAATGCAAGGTAAATGCCAACAATAAGGTCAGGTAGTTCGAGCGAGAGCTCTCGAAGCGAACAAGGAGAGAGATCGAGGGAGAGAGAGAGCCAAACAGCCTTCGCACCTTCACCTAAATGTACCCCGAGCAAAGCCAGCAAGGAAATAAGTAAGGCGAGCTGAGCGAAAGACATACAGCAAAAGAGGAAAGGAAAAAAAAACGCCGCCAGCTGCCTCGTATTATTATTATTATCTTGCTTCCCTCTTCCGCACAGCCATCTCTCTAGCTCTCTCGCACTCTCGCACTCCCACTCTCCCCCACTCGCCCTCTCCCATGCACGCTTTCGCACCAATGCTGCTGCTGCCGGCGCCGACTGTTGCTTTGCTTGTTGCTTCACTTGTTGGCAGCACGCAGGCGCAGTGCGGGATCCACGCAATGGGTTCCACACACCCATACGGTGGGGAACGGAACGGAGTGTGTGTTACAGGTGGGTGGGTGTTGGATGCTAGTGTGTGGCATGCAACAAATGCATGGCGCTGCCTGCCGCCGTATTTTTCATGTTTGCACTGAGGTCAAGTGCTGGCTGGCATTCCCCCTTTACTTTATCAACTAGTTGCCGTTTGTGGAGCCCATTCGCAGTCGGAGAGCGGTGACGCCGACTGAGGCAGCGACAGCGACAGCGACATCGGCAGCGGCAAGAGCAGCAGCCTCAACAGGCTGAAACGTTTTTCATCCCTTTTTGGCGAAAAGCGTCACCGCGCCCCAAGTTGCCATAGATACCGTTTGCCACCCCCACTGTAGACAGACCCCCTCGTATGTGGCGCCCTACGACTCTGCTGCTGCTGCTGCTGCTGCTGTTGCTTCTCTGCCACACCGCTGCTGCTAACTGCTCTGCCGCTTCGCGATGCTACCTTTTCTACGCGTAGACTTGCTGCCCGATAAATTATCAAACTTCATAACAGTTACAGTTCGACTGCCAACGCTTCTGGTGCCTCTCAGCTCCAGCACATCCCTCGCAGTGTCTCCACACCGACTCACCGACCCTGCGTCGATCGACAATGACTCCGCCTGGCCTGTGTTCTCCCAATAAAAGTTCAACCGATTTCCTAGTGTCAAGCGATAGGATGCGTGAAGTGTAGCATACAACGTGGCGTGGCAACCATATGGAATGTTGCGGCGTGGCTGACTGTGGCTGACTTTCTCCGGACCACCATATGGCCGGGTAAGTAGATAATACTCCCGTTATTAACTTTGGCTTTTATCATATTAAATATTAAATGTGAGCTGGTGTTATTTACCGCCTGCTTATCGCACCCACCCCAACGAAACACCAAGAAGAGGCAGCAAGAAATGCCGAGGCAGTGCCAGCATATGGTAGCTAAATTTATGACAGAGATAGACAGGAATGTTCATGTTCAAGTGCCAGCAAATACATACGCACCCACACATAAGAAGATATGCGTGTGTGTTGGTTGGGTGACGTTTCCATTCAAAATCCCAACAAAAAGTCAAACAAATCAAATTGGTAAATTGAATTGCAGCCTCATCAGACAGGAGACCACACCGAGAAGCTGGCTAAGTGCAATCTGCCTTGGCCCTCCGGCCATCCATGTCCGGCACCTCTTCCGCTTCTGCTTCTGCTTCTGCCTCTGCGCCCATTGGTCCTCCTGGTGTGTGATTGATCATTGTGATATATTGTCAGCTGGCAGTGCCAACACCTAAACGTCAACTTTAATTAATGTCCCTTCGTGTGTCCAAAGAATTCTAGACTGTTTGCTCCTGCTGCTCCTCCTCGGGCGGGGCAAGGGGGCCTTTGTATCCTGACATGGGTTATGCACAAGTTTAATTTCGCTTAAATTAAAAGCTAGAAAATAGTGATGGAGCAGGAAGAGCAGAACTAATGGCACACGTAGGTTTAGTGACAGATAAGCCATAAACTAGAAATTGAAAGCCAACACCTGTTGATAAGCCACACAACAACGAGGCCTGAGCCGGGCGTCCCTCCCTATCGGCCTCATTAATTGCGCTAAACAAGCAGCCAACCAAACCGATGAGGCAAACAATGTCAGCCAAGGCTGCAACAGGCAACAGGCAACAGAGCTAGAGACAGAGGCAGAGGCAGAGACACAGGCAGAGGCACACAGACCCGCACACAGGGAGGGAGTTGGGTGCAGTCGTGGCTTGGCTGTTGCCCCTGGGGTTGCCTCGAAAATTTATGGCCAGCTCATATGCAGCCGGAATGGCAAGGACAGAGCAGTGTCGAGAAAGAACAGAAGAGCCTGGAATATACCAGGAATAGGAATAGCGTTAGAAGCGTTAGGAGCAGAAGAGACTGCAGCAGATATTGACTTTTTATGCTGACTGCAGGGCAATAAAAAAAGGGAAATTATTTACCTCACGGCTTATGCTACAGACAGCAAACACATCCATTTACCCATGCCCATTCCTATGCCCATCTATGAGGATGCCAAGGCTGGGTATAATGCCAGGCAAAAGCAGGCAGCAGGCGACACACGACAGGCGACGGGCCAAGAGTCAAATCTAATCCCAAAATAGAGCTTAAGTTTAATGGTCACCAATTTAAATACATATTTGAAAAGGCAGCCAGCAGCCAGCAGCCAGAACTTTAGGAAGTTAAGGGCAGAAATATCTATCTACAAATGAGGAAATTTCAATTGACTCAGCAACCATCTTTAGGGTTAGGTCTCTAGGTAAAAGAACAGAAACAGAAAATTGATTGATGGATTTATGGTATAAAAGCAATTTAGCGGGTAATTACCATAACCATTTATCTGCAATCTCTGCTTAGATTTTGTCCTCTCTCTATTCCAACCAGACAGCCTCCAATTTAACCACAAATTCGGTTGCAGCTTTTGACACATACGAGTAGAAGCGCTTCCAATGGCTCGCACTGCAACGTATACGTAATCCGGTCTAATCTCCTCGAAAGCCAAGTAAGTAAACGGGTGGGCGGGCTGCCATCAAGTAAGTACGAGTATGTATGTATGATACAGAGATTATGGCTTATCAATATGCGCGTGTGTGTGTGTGTGTGTGTGTGTGTGTGTGTGTGTATTTATTGTACCAATATCAATACCAATATCCATAAAGCCATCGATAGTTACTTCCTTCCTTCCTTCATCTTTTTTTGCAACTTTCTATGACATGTGAAAAACATCAAAATTACTTTCAAAAAGAGAAAAAATATGAAGAAAAATGAAAATGCGCTTGGCTTTCAGCCATATGAACATTAAATGCCCTTAAGTGCCAATTAATGTTTGACTTACACACAGCCGGAGGAGGGTGGCGGGGACAGAGAGTGACCGAAAACATGGCCAAAGCATTTCATGGCCGGAATACTGGGGTGGGTCCCTGGGTAAGGCTCCAGCTGTCCAGACTTATGGGCGAAAAGTGTATAAACTCGTACTCGTTTTGTGTTCGCACATACTTATCGTAACTTCGGGCAAGAGACTTTTTAAACATCAATTATATTTACGTATCGAAGCGTATTAATGCGAGGCACTCACCCCGAGTCCTGGCTCCTGGCACACCTGCTGACCCTCACGGCAGTGGGCAGCTACTCCAGTGGGGATTTCTCTTTATGAGTGGAAATAGTTAAGCAAAGCTTAACTCCATATCGCTGCATGCTTATGCAGACATCCTTTTGACCAGTTCATTAGCCAAAGTCAGGCACGTCTTTGCCCGTGTCCCACCCCACCACACCACACAGGAAGCATCATTTGCTTACACTTGTTTCGGTCTCTGTCTCGACTACAGTTTCAGTTGCAGTTCCACAGATCCCTCACTCACGCCATAATTAAGAAAAAGTGGAAAAAGTGCTGAAAGAACAAACTCTTGATTAAGTGGGTGCAAAGTGTCAACAAATTATTCATTTACTCTCTGCTGCTCCCAGCCCAAAAGGAAAGGCAGGGAAAAAAACATGCAACAAACCGAAAAGAAAAACATTGAAAGGATAGCATAGTAGTGTGCCAGTGAGAGTAAAAAAAACGCGGCACATGGAGTGAATGGAGTTTTAATTAACAACCACGCCCCCTACAGAGCGGCACTGTGGGGCCAGACAAAGCCTTCCTCCACGTAATCCCCTTTGCAGTCTGAGTCCGTGATTTCAATTTGCTATTAAAATGCACACAAAATCCGAATTTCAATCGTGTGAGCAATAAAGTTTATCTACTTTATCCCCCCAACCCATTAACATAAACCCCTCTCTACTTCTCCATGAGCTTGAGTGGAAATTCCTGAATTGCCTTTGAAGCGAACCCAATCAAAGGCGCCGCCAGACTATCCACAGGGACAGACAGAGATGCTTTATGAAATGATGAACAATATGGAGACCCTTGACATATATGTTATACATACATACATATGTTCGTATGTATATTCTGACCCTCCCCTAGCCAGCATCTTCAAAATCAAAGTTTCCTTCCGTCCTTTTTGCTGCATACTTTGTTTGTTTGCTTTAGCAACAATTTTCGTTCTATTTTTCTGTTTTTATTAGATCACATTGTTGTTGTTGCTGTAGCTGAAACATTCGCTGTTTGCATAAATAAATTTGGAACGAAATCATGCGTCACATTAGCAGCGGGATATATGCGCTGCGATGGCTCCCACTTCCCGCTTCCCACTTTCCATTACCATTTTCCATTTGCCAATCCCATGCCCATTCCCATGCCCATGCCCATTCCAGTTCCAGTTCCTTCCATGGCCAGCGAATATGATTATGTACGTACAACGTACCAATGGGACGGATGCTGTGATTACGTTTGGCTGGTCATCTATCCATCACAGATACATTTGTGGGATACATTGAATGAAATTACTGCACTGGAATGCGTGTGGAATTTCAATAATTTGATTTGTTGGCAAAACAAATCAAAAATGTAGTGCAGAAAATGCATTTGTCAGCTTGTTATTGATGCAGCCCTTAATTAAGTTTTTAAGAATTATTTTTCAATTAACACTGACAGGAAGGGGAAATGAAAATATTGATACAACAGGATACAACGCGCGGGGGGATTGGAAATTGCTTGGAGCCAGCCGTCTGACCCCCAACTAGACAAGCCAGCGGAGAACAAGGAGAAATTCTCAAGCTGCCTGGAGGAGTAGCGGGAGAGGTCCACTTGCAGTCCAAAGAGACAGAAATGGTGGTCTAGGGGTGGACTAGGGGCATCAGGGAAACGGAAGCGGATGCGTCGCTGTCAATGTTGGCACAAATTGTTTGTCACGCAGTGCAAATACTTCGTGCTGTTGCTCTGGTATGCGGTATTATGCGCGATTTATTTCTGTACAAGTGTGTGTGTGTGTGTGTGTGTGTGGGTGTGGGTGTGCGACAAAGACAAGACACTGAAAAAAAGAAAGAGATGGTTAGAGAAAAAGCAACAGCAAAACAAGAAGCACGCAGACAGGGGCGTCGCAGTGGCAACATCAGACAAATTCCATGCCTCGCAGGCAAGAGAACCGAACAAATTTGATATTTGTTGATTTTTCCCATTTTCTTCATCATCCTCCAGCACGCAGCACCCACTGCCCGTTCCCTGTTCCCTGTTCCTCTTCTGCAGCAACTCTCACATTTTCCTTTTCCTTGGCAGCGCAATTAAAGCCGTAGCGAAATTGTGTAATGCGACTCCTTAAATGATAAATAATGTTTTTAAGCTGGCTAAGAGAATCTTTCAGCTTATTAACTCAACTTTTAGCTGTCTGCCTGCCACTCTCTCACCCCCGTCCCCACCCCATTTTGACTGAAACTTTTAATGCATTTTTATGAAGTTTCAGTACCTGCGGACGGACCACCCACCAGACAAACACTCTTTATTTTATTTGATTTTATTTACATTTTGCATTTTACGCTCCAAAGTTTGCCACCAAAGTAGTTTGATTGGCTTTGCTCACAAATTGCTAAATAATTGCCTAGGGACGAGGCAATGCAGCGGCGAATGCGGATGTGAGGTTGAAAGAATGATGGGGAAACAAGTTAATTTCATTGAAAGTGATGCTCGTTTGTGGGCAGGCAGCTTTCACTTGCCCTTCTGCCGTGTGGCAGGATGCAGATGGTGTGGAAAATATGCTGCTCTTGTTTGCCGCTTCCCCGATCCACGGGTCGTTCATTAGAGTGTGCAACAACAATGGAGCAAGGAGCACCCACGATGACAGCAAGTTTGTGTAATGTAATTAATTAATTACAGTGGAACAACGTAGTTACATGTTCGGTTATGGAAGGGCGGACACTGAAGAAGGGCAACTTTTAGGAGCCTCACACAAACACAAACACAGACACAGACACTGCCACTGCTCTGACCTGCTCGTTTTTATTAGCCAGAGCATGCCACAGCAATCCTTTGCTTCACCCTCGTTCCTTTTCCGCCTGGAGTTCCCACAGACCCCCAGCAGACAACCTGATAGCAGCGCATAGTTTCGTGTTTGCCCGCCCGGTAACTTAATTACAAATTATAGTGCAATTAATTCTGCGGCGTGGCATTATTAGGCGCATCAAACGCGTAACACAAAACCGCAAGAGAATGCTTCTGGAGAGCGCCATTCCGGCCGAGGCAGCAGCACCTGGGGTAAGTAGGAATGAAAATTAAATAGAATCCACCCGCAAAAGTGACCGCCGTGGCGACCATAACAATTGGATATCCGATTACCCCCTGCACCTGGAGCCACGCAACCTTGGTGGCAAATGAAAGTGCGAGATTCAACGAGTAGTTATGTCCCAAGTGGATTAGGGCGACGAGAATCTTCAACGGCCACGTGTATGCTCGTAGCTATAACCTGATATGCGAATGTTATTGCTTGAGAATACACGTAGTTTAACAAGATTCACTCAGCAATCAAACTGAAATGGAAAGTGTCTGCGGAAGGTGTCTTTAAAGTGAAAGTTTTCAAGCTCTTAAAAAACTTTTTGCACTCACTGAAGTGAGAGCAGAGCGAGTGAGAGAGTGACAACTAACTACAGCAAAGTGATTCTGTTAAAAAGTATCTTACGATTATGCTCTGTACTTTGTATGAACGAATCTCTTTACTTTCGTAGCAAACTTTTCTTCGATGGCAGCTAATTTGAAATTAATAATGAGATTAAAAACCCTCAAACTTAAACTGAAACTGCACAAAAGTCATACAACTCTGCAATAATCAATTGACTTGATTATAAATAAAAATAAAAAGAGATTGCATTACATTCAGGTATGAAATGACTTCATTTTGATTATTCATTTCTAACTTATTTGTGAATTATTTCGCTGCATGTATAGCTCAATCGATGGAGCTTAGATTTCCATTGAATAGCTCAATCCCTTCCTAAAAGATTTCTATGAATGTAGAAGGGAAAGAAATTGCACACCCGAAAACATGACTCTCTTCAGTCAACACAATGGAAAGTATTGTATGCATGCAATCATTTGTATAGTCATATTTTCAGTGCAGAATGGAAAAGAATGCCCCTCCTTCATTTGGCAATTTCAGTTTCAATCAAAAGACCCCTGGGAGAGGGAGTCAAACAGCTCGAGCATTTCTGTAGCATATCAAAGGACGCGGATATTACTTTGAACTGTCATTCGTTTCGTGCTTATTACATATTTTCAATTACAATTCGTGCCTTGGCATCCGCCTGCGGGAGAGCATTCTCGGGAATGTGTCTCAAAAACACTCTCTTGTGTATCCATTGATAAAGTGAAAGAATCTCTAATATTTCCACTGATTAGCTTAAGCCCTAATTTAGCTGTTGGCCATATTTGCTGCTGCCACACACTCGTAAAGAGCCAATTAAAATGTTGTGCTTGTAATCATGGCCCATAAGTCGGGTTTTGTTTGGCATCTGATTAACAGCAGGAGCAGCACACATCGTGGGACGAATGAGTAGAACACGAGGGTGCTTTGACAAGCCTTTTAGCACACTTTCATAAGCACATCCTGGTCCCCCGGGGGAGGCTGTGTGTGTGTGTGTGTGTGTGTGTGTGATTTGCATTAATGAGATGCAAATGATTTGTTTATTTCTTTTTTGCCATCAGTCCTGTCAGCGTCCCTTTGTGGGGCCATCTTTATTGAAAAGTTCGCAGTGCTCCACTGCCGAATGCATGAAATGAGCAAATAATAAGAAAATATTGATAGAGATGTTAATCAAAGGAAGAAGCTCCCGTTGCCTCCTATAGGCAGTAGAGTGCGAGACTGAGTACTTGCGACATAATAAATATGTATGATACCCTTACCCTTACCCTTACCCTTACCCGTAGCCCATGGCCAACCTTCTTCTTGCTATGGCCCAACTCTTGATGGGGTCTGGCCCCGCCTTCATTCTGCTACTCCGGCGGCTGCTGTCAGGGCTGTCTGGGCGGCGACGCCTCCACTCCGTCATCGTCATCGTCAGCTCCATTCCGTCTGAAGTCACTCGCAGGGAGCACACACACGACACTGCACGACCCCGCTGTTTATTGTTGTAAGATACTTGGCTTCACATCAGCGAACTGGAAGAAATGCGCAGTGACAGCACAACTTGAGGCACAAGAATGAACAGGAACAGGGAAGTACGTTGAAGTCGCTGGAGGAGCAGTCGATGCTCTGACAATTTGCATTGTTTTATTTACATATTTTTGCGTCAAACTTTCGGCGGATACGTATGCCCACACCCATGCCCAATACCCATCGATGATGATGCCTTGGCATCCATAAAATCTATATATATCCACCCATAGATGTATCTATCCGGCGAAAGGACTGCGACGCCGAGACCTCAGCTAAAATATGCAGATCAAAACTCCGTCTCGTCTCACTGTTGATGGAGCATAATTTGTTTATGTTTCATTTAAATTAAATTGCCATCCCTTGGCCATGAACGTTTATGCAAATCTCTATACATTTTCAGATGAATTTCGCCAGAGCCATGTTCAAGTACAAATCAGGGAGTAAAAACAATTTTAAAAATTAACGATGGGATCTACTTTTGCAGACTAACTTGACTGGTTACATTCCTACAGATCTGTAAGTTAGCTATCGATCAAACAGCGATGTTATGAGTACCTCCTGAGGGCTGACGATGGCTAATTGCTTTCCTCTTCGTGATCCACAGCCGCAGCCTTTAAAATAAAATAAAATATTTAATATTTGTATTTCGTATATTTTTACACATTAGGAAATAACATTCTTGTAGCAATAGCAAATAGTCATAGCTACTGGTGTAAGTTAAGTATTAATAGTTAAGAATTATACTCGTAAACTGTCCTCGGGCATCGTCCCTGCTCAATTGCTTATTGAATAGTCCTAGATACAAGGCCTACGATCTTGCATAGTCTCCAACAACCTCACGCACTCATTGCACATCAGACAAATACAATCGTACTCGCGGAAATCCACTCGAACTTAGGAGGAAATGGGTTAAGAGTGTACAAATTGCTAAGAAATTTGAACTTTGATTTTGTTTTACTCAATTGTGATCCAATAAAGAGTTAGTATTACGAATTTAATTAAACTTTCATGGTTTTATTCACAGTGTGGTTGTTGTAGCAATTCAAAATGATGTTCAAAACAAACAAACAAAATATTTTTCAATTGACATTTAATGACATTACAGGCCAAAGAAAAAGTGCTCAAAATAAGCATCAGGGCCGGGAAAGGTTTTTTGGTCCGCCCTTCCTTCCATTGGGTAGCGGCCTAGAGGGATTCTGGAATCCCAGGGAGGTTGGGAGTGTAAAAATTAATTAAAAATTGCCAGCGAATTTTTCTCGGTAAAGCAGCCAGCAGAAGGTTGGCGAAAAGTTAAGTCTACAAAAGCGACTAGCTTGCGTGTGTCGGTGTGTGGGTTGTTTTGTATACATACATGCGTGCATGTTTGGGTGCAGAAACACTTTATATTGGCCTAATTAAAAGAGGACTTCCCCCCCCCCCCCCCCCCCCCCCCCCCATCA